CAAGTCATCAGAATTTAAATATCCTCCCATTTTTCTGCAAAACATTCTCAAATGGATTAAGGGACAACTGGTGCCATCATATTTCTCAAAATCAGGCATTTTGAATTCATGAGGAATAATCAAATCTGGAACCAAGCTGAGCTTTCTTGCTTCTAATTCTTTGTGGGAAGTATCAACACATTTCATATTTTTGATTGCTTCATCCATCTTCTTGAATATTTCCTCATATTGCGAATAATGAACAAGGCTATTCTTTGGGTTTGAGTGGGATGCCCCAGGGTATGTTGTCTTTCTCGACTCTTCAATCTGATAGCACGATTTCTCTTTAGCAGTTATCTCTTCTTTATCAGATACCACACACTGAATAATTTGATTTGATCCATCTGGTATTGAATCTGACGCTTCTTTCCTTGTATCCCGAGGTAACCCTGTCAATTGTTCTGGCCACTTATCTTGTAGTCCTTCATAAGATTGCTCCATTGTTTTCATAATGATGGTACAGTAAAATAAATGAATGATCTTGGTTTTTACTGTTACAAAACCTTTCATTAATTATTAACATGTTTTTATAATTAAAGTACATGACAGTACTTAAATAAAAATGTGAAAAATGCATAAATGGAAAAATAAGAATGCAAAAAGATATAAAAAGTAAAAATACAAAATGAAAATGCATAGATACAAAATGTAAATGCATGTATGAAAAGGTGTTACTTAAGAGTGATCATCTTAGAAAAGATTTCATTGAACACAAAAGCTTCAGTACATCAAACAAAACTTTTACATGTAGGGGACAACTTTCTGTCCTAACAAAACTTTACATATAGGGAATAACTTTCCCATTTTCTTCTCTAAAACCAAGTTAATTTATCATCTTATGGGCCATATTGCTTGTCTGGACTGTAGCTTCTTCCATGACATTCTGGTGTTCTTTCATCTCCTATGTCAATTCTTGGAGTTGATCATTTTCCTTTGTGATAGAACATTTGTGTTCAAAAAGTTTTTGGACAAGATCTTCATGTATGTTGCAACTCTTTTTCAGTTTGGTGACCCCTGATATCCACTCTTCTGGGGTATTTCCTATACCAGTATTTTGAAAGGCTTGACTGACCTTCTGGAAGTCTTCATGTATGGTTTCCATTTTGGTGCTCAATTTATCGTTTTCAATCTTCAAATGACGTATTTGAGCTTCAAATCTCAGCAAATCTTCTTCTCTCTGGGCGCCCCTACTGATATTCTTACCTTTGAAGACTTTTGGTATTAATCTATCAGGAACCTTGGTTACCAAATTAGGTCGATCATTTACTATAAATTGTAAGGTTCCATGATCCAAAAGACTTTGGACTCGACGTTTGAAGGCAAGACAATTCTCGATGGTATGTCCTTGAGCTCCGGCATGATATTCACAATGAACGTTGATGTTATACCAATTTGGATACGGAGGTTGGAACGGTTTTATATAATATGGATCCACTTCTCGTGCTTCAAGTAGCTTCTCATATAAATCTTTATATGATATGGGGATAGTATCAAGATGAGAGCCACCTTTTGTCTTGAATTGAACCTGAGTTTTAGATATCGAGAGCATACTAAACTTCGATGATTTCAAATTACATGATTTCTTCTCTTCTCTGGGAGCTTGTACAGTCGTCACCATTTCTTTGGTATCTCCAGACGATTGGTAAATTCGAATGATGACTGTCTGTAATTTCTCCAATTGGTTAAGATCCGAAGTCCCTTGCATATATGAAATTGCAGGATTATCTTCATTAAGCTTTCTCTCTTTCTGTGCAGGAATCTCTTCTCTTTTGGCCAAAACAGATATTCTATTCATCATTTTGGACATCTGCTCTCCTATTTCTCGTATCTCCTTTTGCTCTTCAATGGGCATATAATCTTTGGGTGCATAGTTCTTTTCTATCTTCAGAGTTCCTTCAGGATGTCTTTTCTTGGCCGCATCATATTTTGTTTGATCATAGAACTTTTTGTCCATTTATGATTTCTTTCTAATTTGATGAACAGTCTTTTCAGTTAACACCTTTTGGTCATGATCATGTAATGCAAACAAAAGAAAATAATTTAAACAAATTAGAGCAAAAATAACATACATGGGAAAATAAGAAAAAAATAAAATGGTTAATACCAACTAATTGAAAGAAAAAATTTGTTTATCATGGTATATAATAAATCCTAACCTCATGCTTTCTAGTTCCATGCTTTGTTTGGAAAAATTAACCTAACCGCATGATTTCTAGTTCGCATGCATTTATTCAGGGAGAAAAAATAATAATAAATTAAAAACTAGAGCTTATTTCTCCTTTGTGTACACCTATGAACAAAGGTTCAGTACTGTCTTAGATTAGGTGAATTTCTAGGGTTTATTATATGCAAAGTTTCAGTTCTAGGAGTAAAGGTACTTGAATTGTCCTTGTTGATGTCCCCTTGGGCTGTCAACCCTCAATCCTAGTCCATTACAGACTTAAACGGATCGAGTTCAATTAGAGGGGATACATTTCTCTATACCTGACACGGAGAATAAATTCTCACGAAGACATAGAGCATATGAACCCCGAAAGTTACTTGCTAGGTCTGACACGGAGAATAAATTCTCACGAAGACGTCGCTTTCACTCCCACTTAAAAGGGACAAACTCAATTATAGAGCTTTATTTTATGCAATGCAAGTGTTGTGTGTGAGGAGAAATGTTCATACCTCTGACAGAAAAATAAATAATAAAATACTTGCAATATAAATAATATATATAAATACTATAAAAATAATATGTATATATATATAAAAAAGAATTATAAATTAAATATATGAATTTTTATAATTAATAGAGACAATTTATAATTGATTTTTAAAAGTTTGACCGTTCCCCAGCGGAGTCGCCAAGCTGTCGTAACCGGTTTTCGTCCGGGCACGAAATATTTACTCGGCGGGAAAAATAATGTGAATAAATGGTTTTGAAAATAATTTGGGAGTCGCCATCGGCCTTTTGGGTCAGGTAGGTCGAATACCTAAAAATTATTTTTTAAAAGAGTTTTAAGAAAACACCAATTAAAAAAATGAACTGATTTGCGTTTATAACCAAAAATTCGTTCTTTTTAATAATAAAGAGGGATTCGTGGTCGGTTACGTTTAGGGAATGATTAACACCCCTACAACGCCCAAAATTGGTACTTTTTAATTATAAATTGTCTTTATTATTAAAAATTAAAAAAATTCAAAATATATTTAATTTAAATTTATATTATTTCAAAATTAAAAAATATTTAAAAATATCGGAAAAGAACTTCTAGGTGCCTTAAGACAGCTCTTTTCTTCAATATTAAAAAATAAATAAATGACAAACATTTTTTATGACAAAAATTTATTTTAATATAGTAAGATATTTATTTATTCAAAAATATCAGAAAATGACTTCTAGGTATCTTAAGACAGCTCTCTTCTTTGATATTAATAAATAAAAATATTAAAATTTTAATATTTTAAATAAAACTAAATTATAATTTTTATAATATTAATTATTTAAAATACCAGAATAGGACATCCAGTTATATTAAGACTGCCCTTTTCTTTGATATCGAAAATAAATAAACATTATTATTTAAAATATATATATATATATATATGACTAAAATAATAATAAAATAATAATTAAAGCAATAATTAAAATATAAAAGTAATAATAAAATAATATTGTAATTAAATAATGATCAAAATAAAAGATATTCAAAAATTATAAAACTAAATATAAAGTATTAAAAATAAAGATAATAATTTGAAATATTATGAAAGATAATGATTAATAGTGTAATTTAGCCTAATTAATTAATACGTGATTAAAATAATAATTAATAAACTATGAGGGACCAAATTTGATATTTTCCTAAATATATATAAATACAGTTAATGGTTAAAATATAATAAAATAAAATTTAAACACTAAATTAAAATGATTAAAAGTCAATTTCAGTGACTAAATTGCAAAGTTATAGAACTATAAGGGTTGCGGAAAGGGTTTACCCTTTCTTAAATTACACAGATACCCTCCCCAAAACGACGTCGTTCGGGGGAGGGTTTATAAAACCTAAACGCCTGGCCCGAAGGGCCAAGCTTTCCCATTTCTTTCTTTTCTTTCTTTCTCTGAATGAGAGAACCAGAGTTCTCTCTCTGGTTTCTCTCTAGTTTCCCTCGCCGGAGGGAAACCGGCAGCCATCGGCCACCGTGCTCCGTCGCCGTTTACGGTGGCTGGAATTTACCAAAAACACCCCCAAAGCGTAGATCTAAACGTCCTAAGGTCCGATCTAAGGTTATTTTAACCTAAAACCCTATAATACATCCTAAATCTACGATTTTCACCTTCGGTATTTCGGTTCTCCGGCGACGTTTGGGGTTCTCCGATGACAGAGTAAGTTCCTATGTTCTCTTCTTCTTCTTCTCTTTTTTTTTACTGGTTTGTCGTTGATTGGGATCGTTGGTAGCTTTCTGTCTTCCTTTTTTTTTTCTTTGCTGGATGTCCTCGTTTCTCTCGTGTTCTCCGTTGCTCTCCCTTTTTTTTTCAGGTTCAGTGGTGGCTTTTATAGCCACCACAGTGTACTCCTTAGACCGGTCCCATAGGTAGCATCTTTGGTGAGTCACCAAGCTATGGTGGTGACTCACCATAGAGCTCTGATTTGGTGAGGCAGCTGGCTTCTGGAAAGCTCGACGAGGCCGGCGTCGTGGAAGCAACAGCGTCGGCAGCAACTGGTTGGACCATCTGGAACTGAAACGTCGGCAAGGCAGCTGGAGGCAGTGGTGGCGCCGCGTGGATGTTCTTGAAGCTTGGAGGTGGCGGCCGGGATATAAACCTAGGGTTGTGAAACCCTAGGGCTTCTGGGAGTTGGGCCAGAGTTGTAATCAGGCCCCGATCTTGGGCCTTAGTATATATATATATATATTTATTTAATAATAATAATATATAATAATAATAATAATAATAATAATAATAATAATAATAATAAAATTAGTGTTTACACATCCTGTAAGCAGTGACCGAGTTCACGCAATGCGCCCACGTGGCCGAGGAAAGCGGCTCGTTCGCATAAAGCTACTCCGGCGCGGAGTTCCTTATTGATTTTCGAGCTACCGCTTCCGTTGAATTGTATGACTGCGAGCGAGCATATAGATGGCGTGTGGGATTTGATTGCTGGTTTCGCCATTAATGACTCTCCGCTTCTTCGGTTTTTCAAGCAGTAAAATCGGATCTGTAACAGCGACAGGTTACGCGAATTCCTAATAAAATTTATTTTTTTAAAATAAATAATTTGCATGAATACTGACCATGCCGAGAATATAACAAGCTTCATCGTTGCCGGCGTTAACGTTCTGTTTGAGAAAACGGTGAACTGAATCGCACCATTTCCGAGCTTTGACGGCAAAATCTTTAAGGCCAACTTTTGATAAAATCAAAGGATGAACTGCTAAAAGGTTTATTCTCTTGCATCTATCGGAAATAAAATTCAAAATCTCCATTAATGACACCTTCAATACTAAAAAAATTCGAAACAAAAATCAACCTTACGTTAAAAGAATGCTGAAGAAATCAGGAGGAGACGAAGCCGAAGAAGCGAGCTTTGAAATTATGGAAATTACAAGATCGTCTGGTAATCCATCGAACGGATCCGGTTTCTGGGTGAATTTACGAGAAATTCGTTGCTTTTTCCTCTGCAACATAACTTTTTTTCTCCCTCTCGGATAAGGACATAAAAGAACAGGGAAGAAACAGCAGTCCAACTTCAAATTAATCTTCTCAGCTTCCTTGTACTTTTATATCAAATCCGAGTTTTCTTTTTGGCTAACTGTTCTTCGAGATGAAAACAAAATTCCAAACGAATATATTCAGTGAGTCGAATATGACAGAATATAGAGATTTATTGTATGCAGCTTGCTTTAATTTGGACCCACGAAATTTCATACTCACTTTTTAATTTTAAACTATAATAACTTTTAAATATAATAAATAACGTATCGTACAATTTTACTATATTTACTTCTTTAAAAATCTTTTTAACTTTCACTTTCTAAGTTTAAAATTTTCTTGTGAGTTTTAAGTAATTAATTAAATATCATAATTGTGAATCAGAATTGCCAATTATGATCCAAATTCCATTAATTTAATTAACCTAGTGAGATAAATTTTACCGTATGAAAATTGGGAAGGTCGAAGCTGGTCAAAGTATCCCAAAGCTAAAAGCATAATCAATGACGCGTTTAGTTGAGCAAAATGACAGAAATTTCACCAAGGAAAAGGTGAAAAAGTGTGAAATCAATATTTTGGTTCATTTCTGATTTTATAAAAAAATATTTAAATTTAGTTAATATATATATATATATTAATTGAAGTTAAAAATATATTAATTTAAATAAATTAAGAATATTGTAAATAATACAATAAATTATTAAATTGAATAAACTTTAGTTTAATGATATATTCGAAGAAACGACGTCATCTAATTCGAAGAATATTATAATTAATAAAATAATATTTAAACTTTTTATTTTATACTAATTGATTTTGAAAGAATATATTCTATTAAATTAATCAATATAATTATCAAGTACTAGGTGTCGTAATTGGCAACTGACAAGAGACTAATTCATTGGCAAAACTAATGACAACAAGTATAGGTTTAAAGTAAAAATAAGTATTTAATATATGCTTTTTTTATTTTAGTTACTTAAATTATTTTTTGGTCTTAGGTACTTAAATTATTATATTTAAATATTTTAATAACTTTTTCAGTTAGAAAATTATTTTTCGATCAATAAAATGTTGACATATTATACAAAAATAGTTCCAGTGTAAGAGTTTCATTACTGGCAGCTGGCCTAAGACAATAGGCGTACCGATAACTTAGCATTATTCTCCAATCTAACACTTCTGTCTCTTTGCACTTTCATCCTTTTTCCAACAGGTTTTCCTCCTCAACTTGTGTCATCACCACATTCGTCCCCCTTCGAAGAATCAACTTGAGTGGTCCTAGCTTTCAAAGCTCGACCTTTGAATAGGATGTTGAGTTTGAAGAAATCGTGACTGATGACAAAAAGTGCCTTGAGACCTCATTCTCATCATCTTCGCTTAACCAGGGACTTATGCCGAAACCTTGTCGCATATAAGGCACTCACAGCGAGACGTCCTATTGGAAAACCAAGTCCTTTTTTCTCCTGAAGAACACATAGAGGGAAAAATCCTTCTCCATGACCCAACTTACCGCAGAGAAAGCAAAATAAACAAAGTTTTTCATATTGAAAATTAGTGTAAGTAGATTTTCCTTTAGGCAATGTGATCCGCTTCTTTTTTTAATGGCTTTCGGACGTCCAACCCCACTCTGATTCAAAGTCTACCTCTATACATCAAAGACTTGGTTGAATCATCATAATCAACAAAGATCCCCAAAAAGTTCCCCAACTGCATCGTAACCTGTCTATAGATAAAACCCATAGGTAGACCGATGGCTAGGGTCCAAAAATCAATGCAATTAAGATCCACCACCATAAGATCTTCCCCTCCTTTTAAATCTGTTTTGAAAACGGGATCAGACCGGTCGGTTCAACCGGAAATTATTGTTTAGTCCGGTTTAAATTAAACCGGTTAAACCGTTATTAGTGAACCGGCCAGAACTTCTGAACCGTTCGAACTGGACCGGCTGAAAATCGGAAAAAATCGAGAAAAACCGGGATTTTTGTTTTTTTTTTAAAAAAAAAAATTAAATCAAACAACGTCGTTTGTTAAACAAGCCAAGTCGAACTCGAGTATTGCTGAGCTCGACATGAACTTGAAAACTTTAAAAGTAAGCTCAACTAAACTCAAACTCACAAGCTAAAAATTATCAAGTTCAACTCAAACTCGAAATATAATATTGTAACTTGAACTCAAAAAAAAATTAGAAGCTCGATTGAAGCCTAAAATTCGAGCTTGATTGAAGTGAAAGAATAGTTCACTCAATGCTCACCAAAAGGCTCCATGATTTTGAATGTCAAATTACCTCTATTATTTATAGAAGTTAGTTGTGATGCGCTTCTATGTTTCTTAGTAATGTGAGATTGTTTTGTTCTCATATTTTTACTCTTTAGACTTTTAGGATGCTCTTCTATGTTTCTTAGCCATGTGAGATTGTTTTAAAAAAAATTAAACCAAACAATATCATTTTGTTATGATTTTTTTAACCCCAAATTTATTTTTTAATTATAGTTATATAATTATATTTATTATTTAATATGTTTTACCTTAAATATTATGTTGTAGTTAATTTGAATCATTTTGTTTCGCTTGATTTTATGGTTTTTAACTTATATATGTTATGACTTGCTTTGAATATGAATTGTGATATAAAAAATTATTTTTATTAAATATTTTTGGTATTTTTATTTAATTTTTTAAATAATTATGACGTCGTCCGGTTATTTCGATCGGTCGGACCGGTTCGACCGGTTGAACCAGTGAACCGATAACATGATCAGTTCGCTAACCGGTCCGGTTCGCTAACCGGTCCCGTTCTGAAATCCATGTTTTAAACGGTGAATGATCAATAAGTGGACGCTAAAATACCAGAGGTCTTCTACTTCTATTCAATTAGAATCTACTACATGAAAAAGTCGAAACAATCTTCCCTCGCCTAATTCAGTGATTGAGATGTCTCCGATTAGATGCCAAACATTGACTAGGATTATTTGCATGGCTTGGAAGATTAACTATAACCCCCTTATACCGATACGGGTAACCCGATCCGATCTAGGAAGTCACATTAGGGCCACCGGAGCGACCCGCCGTAAAAATATCAGAAAATTTAAAACTTTTATTAAAATATGTAAACTCATAAAATGATTTTCAGTATTCAGAAATAAAACAGATTTTCAGACTCGAATATAAAACAAAATACAATTACATGCCCCCTAAATCACATGTATCATACTCTGCAAGCAACGCCGGAAGAACTCACTTACTTATGTCGATAGATGCACTGACGTGATTCTTTTAACCTGCAATGGTGAGTAATAGAGTGAGCTTTGAGAAGCTTAGTAATACAGAACTACCAGATGATGCTACAGGAGATGCAGATAAATATAAAGCCATATAATTTTGTAATTGAATCAGACGTATACCAATTTTTGGGATAATCTGAGGTTTCACTGGTAGTCCATCAAGTAGAAGCCATGAAGATCTTAGGTCATAGGAAGCATTCATAATATGACATTTTCAGGAGATCGAATAGGATGTCTAATGTGTTCCAACAGTACGATAAAAATCATAATAGGTATACTAATCAAGTAATAGTTCAGTAAAATCTCATAAATCATAATGTAGTTTAGCTTTTTAAACTCGTAGTTTAAACTCATTGTATAAAGAGTCAACCTAAGGGAACATCTTAGGGCTTGAAAGCCTACCCAAGAAAGATTTCAGGGCCACGGGGCCTACCTGAGAACACATCTCAGGGCCATAGGGCCTACCCGAGAATGATCTCAGGGCCGTAGAGCCTACCTAAGAGTCACATTAGGTCCATAAAATTTTACAGCTTAATCATAGTTGTACTTTATGAATCAGTATCTCCAAGATATAATTTATACAGTGATACAATTTGATAAATCCTTAATCATTGTAATCATATACCAGTGAAAACCAATAATCAGATAGCAGACATAATCCATAAGCCATCACCATTAAGTCGGTGCATCCATAAAACAGTAACCATATATTTCAGTGTACCACATGTTAAAACAATAAAACAATTTAGTAATATATAGGGAACACACTAGAGAATCCAAGTATTTTTCAGAGGCATTTTGTAGTTATCAGTATGGATAACATGAAACTTGTGCAATTTGATCAGATTCTAGGAACAAGGTCCTATTTAAGAGAATCAATTACTAACCGATCTAATCAGACATTTAAGGTTGATACTTTAGAATCCCACTATGTTTTCATGTGCATCAGGAAAGTGTTCAGGAATGACCGGAGTGATTTGAGCTAATAAAGGAGAAACGGAGATTCAGGACATTTACAATCCATGTTGATCGATTGGTTTATCGAACAATTCAAACTGAACAACTCTCAGAACAAATGCATGTCGACCCGTCAATTTGTTGCCTTTCCAGAGTATTCACTCTTTAATACTAACAATTCTTGTCCATAAATCATCTTCGTAATCATCGCTGAATAGATCTTCCAACGGTCTTTATTTTATTTCCATGTTTCAACGATATCAGGAAATATAGATGTACTTGATTCATGGTTCATGACCCATAAGGACAATTCATTATGTAAGTTCAACAGCGTTTCCAGACTCATCCAAATCACTTATTTAATCATCAGTCATTAAGGTTACATAGTTTATTTAGCAAAGTCTATCCCGGTTACTTCAGAGTTTTCCAGAGTAATTCAGACGTTTCTGAATTTTATATACATATTGTACTTCCTTTCAGCTCAATTTAGTCATACAATAAAGTCATTCTGGTATTCATGGTTGATTTGTCTCACGAATATCCGCTTCTTAGTACCGAATGTGCTTTAGAGTTGAGCTGAGCTAAGTACTTCCAGAATTATCATCTATCCAAACTTGAGAAGACGAACACACATTCAAGTGATATATATGTCATTCAGGTATTGACATGACATTAGGGTTGATCTACTAACTTAAATTGTGTTCCATTACTTTTAAGGGTAGTACAACACCTATGTTTATTTGAATTCCTTAATTATCCCAAGACATTTATTTAGTCTAGATCATAAGGGCATTTTGGTTATTTTGGTGCTCAATGTTTTTTCATTCATTTCAAAGCTTGAGGATATCCATTCATTCCTAGGCTTGGTGATACTCTTTAGTCATTTCCATTACAGGGTATTTTGGTCATTTTACAAATCCAGTGTATTTCAATCCTTTCATTCCATTTGATCTTAATATTTAATTCAAACGTATCATCTTTTCCAGTCATTTCAAACAATTTTGACAAAAGAGCACCCTCGATAATTTATTCTTAACTCGGAAATTTTCAGGTCAATTGCCTTCTCAGAAGTACAAACAGGTTATCAAAATTTTTTTGTACAAAGACAGGATGTTAACAATTATATCCGTAATTTATCGGGTTAGGTATGAAATCTCTGGGTACTCAAGGGCAATTTTGTAATTTAGTAACCAGATAATTTCGATGTTAAACTCTTAACAAAGATAATATAATTTGGAGATCCTAAGGTTAATTGTTTTCTCGGATAATCCCTGAACTTGAAATTATTTCTTATCAAACTTCTAGTAATTTGTACAAGTCATATTGGGTTTAGAAATCGGTTATCCAAATTTTCTAAACAAAGCTAGCATTTTCTATACACATCAGTAGTTTCATAATATCAATATGTCTTTACAAACTTCTTATCCAACTTTCAGGGTCAATTCTTGTCTTTTTTACAATATAAGGGTATTTTCATAATTTTACATAATCGAAGTATTCACATAATTTATCATTTAAACCATATTCAGTTTGAATCCATCCATAATCAAACATGCATTATAGACCAATCATATACATCCCTGCATTTATTCATTATCGACATGTTCCATAAAGCATAAAGAGGTAGTAATGTATTACCTCAATTTTTGTGCCATATTGATCGACCATTTAAACTTTATTCGAATGCCCTCGACCTTCTTCCAATAATTCCTCGGATACATATCAATAGGAATTTCATTAAAAATGGAGCTTAATTACGAAAAAAGAATCGAATCGGGTGATAAATCAGTGAAAAACAGCTTACCGGGTTCGAATTTGGCGAAACTGACTCAAGACGTCGAAAAACGTCAGGATAGGTATACTCGGAAAAAGTCAACGATCGGTCAACGGCCCGATCAACGGCTGTCAATAGCAGTCAATGGGTCGGATCGATCAAACCGGTTCAAATCTGTCCCCCACGCCTTGGACTTTTCCCACGCGCAAGGGCGGCACGTGCGGTGGCCTCGGAGCCCCAAAAAATTCTGGAAAAATTCTAAAAATATTTTAAGGCATTTTGAGACACTTACCAATCTCGGTTCATAATTTTGAACGGTGGAGAGGTCAATTCTGAAACGTCGGAAACTAAAACTTTCTCACATCCCTCATGCGCCGGAGACGATGGAGACAAGAAGGGCACCGATGGACTCGGAACGATGCAAGAAACACGATGGTGCGGGAAGTGTCGAAAACGGGTAGCCGGATCGACTTGAATTGACGGAAAACCAATGGCGATTGAGTTAAAACCGACGTAACCTTCTGGTTGAGATTTACGGCGAACGACTCCGATTCACGACGAGATATTTGAGGGGTTTTGTTTATCGGTCGACAACGAACACGATGGTAGTTTCGGATTGACGAACGATGGCCGGACGGTGGAGAGATCAGAGCTTAAAGGAGGGTCAACGGGGGAGGAAAATAGGAAAAAATAACCTAGAAAACTGATTGCACGGGGAGAGAGAGCTTATAATTCAACATATAATAAAAATGGGTAAATTCAGGACTGGGTCCCTGGATTTCCTACACTACCTAAAATTGTCTGTCAACTTTAAAATTTTATAATTTAATCCTCAATTTCTTCCAAAATATCACTTAAATTCAATTCTTTAGAATTCCTAAAAATTTAACCCCTAAATTAGGGTGTGAATTAACAATATTGCTTGTGAGAAATTGACCGACAAAATAGTTGTCGAAGGAGATCGGGGGTGTGCCATTCGACTGTTCAATAAACAGTGCATCCTCCTACTTTTCTCCCAAATTAAGCCCTTCCAATTCTTACTCTAATTTACCCTTGAGAACCAGCAACCCCGGCCCTGAGGGGTGCTTGGGTTGGGCAATAGCCAAGGGCCCAAGATGGGAAGGGCCCCAATGTTGGATCTAAAAATAGTTCTAGAGAAAAATAAAAAAAAAAAACATATTAAGACAAAAATAGAAAAGATAAAGAACTGATGTACTGTTACTCCCTCATCAATCATGCACGCCTTTATCAAAAACCCAAAACAAAAATCTCTTAAGCTTCATCAAAGACCCTTGAATCACAACTGCTTCATCACTATCATTAGAAACTCTTCAAATTCTCTGCTTTCTCTCTCTCTCTCTCTCCAAGATCCAAAATTCAATTCCTAAATCTATACCCACCATTAAACTCATGGAAAATTTCCTTATTTCCCAAAAAAATTAATTTGCTATTAACATCAAAGCTCCTAAACCTTCTCTTATCAATGGCAACAAGAGTTTTTTCCTTCAATTTTAATAAAAGTATGATCATATGTTTTTATTTTGTTCTATTATATATTATTTTTTAAGGGTTCCCAATCTACTATTTTGCTTAGGGCCCCAAAAAGATCAAGACCGGGGTTATCTCTACCCACCATTAAACTCGTGAAAAATTTCCTTATTTCTTAAAAAAATTAAACCGTTATTAAAAGCAAAGCTCCTAAACCTTCTCTTATCAATGGCAATGAGAGTTTTTTTTCTTCAATTTTAATAGAAGTACGATCATATATTCTTATTTTGTTCTATTATATATTGTTTTTTAAGGGGGCCCGTTCTACTATTTTGCCTAGGCCTTAAAAAGGTCAGGACCAAGGCTGAGAACCAGCGTCAAAACCAGCAAAACTGGAACAAAATAATTGACTAGCAAAGCTAAAAGACCGAGAATCACTAATAGACGTCCCAAGAAGCCCGAGGGACGACTGCTAGAAAACAGAGAGAAACCCAGAGGGTTAATCAAAAAATTTAAATTATTATATATTCCAAAATATTTTCTTTATATATTATATTGATATCTATTTTTACTCCTAACTCGTTCTTCTTAAAATTTTAAAAGTTTATTTTATAATATAATATCGCACAACCATTTTTATCTATGAAGAGAATAAATGTACGAATCACTTGTCGAACCTAATCCAAAGTCAGCATAACGTTTTAGTAAATGTTAGAAGAAGATCAGGTTTGTTTACTTCCCCTACTGAATAATGATGCGAGTGGAAAAGGCACTTTGAGGTTCCAATTTTTTTCCATAAAAAAAGAAACTACTAAAACAATAGAACTATAAAATCTGAAAATATTGAAGTGATTTTTTATTATTGTGAAATAAATAAATAAATAAACAAGGGATAATTAAAAATATTGTTTTTGGAAAAAACAGTTTATTAAAAAAAAACTTTCAAAGTAATCGCCAGTTTGTCATAAGAAAAAAATTATAGTTACTACATTTGTTGGGTCTTTCATCTCTCTTAGGCCGATAAACCCAGACGAAAAATCTACCCTTTGGTAGTTTGAGCCCAACTGTTTCATTGGTCTTCTATAACTTTTATTTTTGGACTCTTGAAGTTGAAACCCAAATTGAAACACTATTAGAAAAGCAGATTCTTACAGCAAAAAATGCAGCTTTGCCAAACAGTTGACCTCTGGGCGTTCCAAAAAGAATTTAACACTGCTATAGCAGTTTTGCAGCGTTTCTTGGGTTCTCACACAAACACAATTTTTTGGGTTTTTAGAGGAGAGCAGAAAGAACAACAATGGAGGTGGAATTGAAAGAGATGCTTGATGATCTCTTGTCTCTAAGGCAATCTTTATCTGATCCTTCTCTTCATGCATCAATCGATCAGGTACAATTTTCAGTTGCATTTGATCCGATGAGATGTGCCTTTTAGGACAGTGGGGGGATCTGGAAAGTTTGTATCTTACTCGTGTTTTTATATTTGTTGAATTGCGAAGAACGAGATTCATTTCGGTTCTACGTTGATCTTCGTCGATCTGTCAGTTGTCTCGTTTGCTACATATATGTTTAAATTGGGTTTTGGGGGTTTTTTTTTGACGGAATTGGATAGATGATAATTCTTTTTTTTTTCATGAATTTTATGCTATCCTAATTCTTATCTACCAATGAAGGTTGGTAATGTAGCTAGATTATGTTCTTTTCGATGATGACTAGGATCTGTTAGGCAGAATGAAATTAATGTTTTTGTAATACGGAATTTATTAATAACATACTGGAAAACTAAAAAAATTACGTTCTAGTTATGAAGGCAGAAATTGTCTTTAACAATGTTTGAGCCTATTACTTTGGTTATAACTTGTTTATATGTTGTCCAGATGCAGTTGCGTGTTGACCGTCTTACTCATCTTGCCAAGTCAGTACCTGTTCGACGAACAAAAGTCAAGGTTTTTGTTGCCTGTACTTGTTCCTTGGCGATTACATATTCTTCTGGTTATGTTTTTTGATTGTGACACTAATGCATGTCTAATCAATCCGATGGCAGGATATGAGTGCTGAGGTGGTTGATACCAATCCTTATAGTAGGCTCATGGCACTTCAAAGAATGGGCATTGTGGAAAACTATGAAAGAATCCGGGAGTTCTCAGTTGCCATAGTTGTATGTATTTGTCTTTTGCTTTCAAGATCATTTTTCAATAAAGCATTGCCTAGCACATACTATCGGTTCCATTCAGTCTCCTTAAATTGATAATCCTTTTCTTCCCGATTCAATTTTCATCAGCAGTCTATTTGAACTTGCAGGGTATTGGTGGTGTTGGCAGTGTTGCAGCTGAGATGCTAACAAGGTGTGGGATAGGTCGACTTTTGTTGTATGATTATGATAAAGTGGAGTTAGCTAACATGAATCGGCTATTCTTTCGTCCAGAGCAGGTGAGTATACATGCCCTTTTTCAAAACTGTTCTATCTTGACAGCTAGTTGGAAAATGACATGATTATTAAATAGTAAGTCAATCATTCGCTTAAAGTACTCGAACGTACTCGAACTGCCACTAATATTGTTTCCCTGTAACTGTGGCTTTTGCATTTATATAAACCCGGAAGCCTGGCTTTGTACCTTATTTTGAATAATCTTTCAAATATTCCTTTAAGGTTGGTATGACAAAGACTGATGCAGCTGTTCAGACCCTGTCAGACATAAATCCTGATGTTGTGCTTGAGGTAGGCGGTCCCCCCTCACCATATAGTAATGTTTGATTATCTAACCTCAGCAGATTTTTTTATGGGTAAAAGTGTTATGCATCACTGTGTATTTTAAGAACTTACCACACTGATTGGTTCATTTCTTTAGAGCTATACGCTGAATATTACAACCGTACAAGGGTTTGAAACCTTTATGTCAAGCTTAGAGAACAAAACATTTTGCTCAAGGAAGGAAGGTAGTGGAGTGGATCTTGTTTTAAGCTGTGTAGACAATTACGAAGCAAGGATGGTCGTCAATCAGGTCATAGTTACTTTTATGTTAAGCATGCTTATTTTCTTGTAGGCCTAAGTTGATAGGTTCTCAGTTTGATGACCTCCGTATATATGAACTGTTTATCATCATTCTACAAAATTGAATTTTGTTTCTATTTTTTGTATATACACAGGCTTGCAATGAGTTGAATCAAACATGGATGGAGTCTGGTACGGACTTATTTTTCATTAGTTACAAGTAATCAACTTAACTGAATTCATTGGTAGAAGTATAAGATTGTAAGAAATCCCTTATATTATTTTTATGTTTCAATCAGATCACAAGTTTCCTTTCGAAAGATGCTTGTAATCCTGAAAGCTGTGATTTGTTATCTTGATTGAAAGCTTTTCCGCTGTAAATGGTTAAACTACAAGATTCAATATTCGTATAGTGACATAAAAGATTACCTACAAACTTGGACTTATCATTGATGCATATGCTAATCTATGATAACCACAGTGTAATTCCTCTTCATGTTTCCATATGCCCTTTTAGTGGTTTGTGTACTATACTTGTATATCCATATTGCATAATATTCTGAGAGGATCCCAAATAAAGATATAAATGTATTCTTGGTTTGACTCTCCGCTATTTATGATTACTGAAAAGAGGAAATTTTGTGACAGGTGTTTCTGAGGATGCAGTTTCTGGTCATATACAGTTGCTGATTCCTGGAGAAACTGCTTGTTTTGCATGTGCCCCTCCTTTGGTACGTTCATCCATTAACCTATGATATTTGCTTAATGTAGATGTGAAACGTTTAAGTTCATGTTTTTGTGCAGTTCGGTTATTTAATCATGAAAGTGAATATGACTATGCTCTTCTACTCCTCTGAAGGTTGTAGCATCTGGAGTGGATGAACGAACACTCAAGCGTGAAGGGGTTTGTGCCGCATCTTTGCCAACTACCATGGTAAGCATTTTTTTCTCTTTTTTTCCTCATTCTTTGGCTTTTTCTCCTTTGTAGTGTGTGTGCATGCCTGTGCATATGAACATACTGACATGAACTTGTCTACCTATATAGATATACTCACACAGAAACACAAATATAAGACATGAATGATTCTATCTATACTCACACGCGCACATGCTTACATTTATGGATGCATCGAGACATGCATGCCTGTGTACTTGTTTATATCGTGCATGAATATGTGCTGCAAATGTGCATGTTCATCCTTTTAGCATGTTCTATATAGTGCCTAAATCATAAAATTGGACTTTAGAATATGCATCAGCAATAATCATTAAGTTGTTGATAACTTGATGTACTGTTCGGTACATAAAATAAAAAATTTCATGGTTTTCCTAACATCTAGTATATGAAATAACTTTTCAGGGAGTTGTTGCTGGGCTTCTGGTTCAAAATACACTAAAGTTCTTGTTGGGATTTGGACACGTTTCTCCCTACTTGGTAAGTTCTACATCAGCTCTCCCTCTCTCTCATCTCTGTAAATGGTGTCTGCGGTTTAATCCTTTACTTATGTGTTCTTACTGGGTAACTAATGACCTCTTGTTCTTATTCTTGGTTTTTGATAGATTTTTTCTGTGTTGATGATTGTAGGGATACAGTTCTCTTAAAGATTTCTTCCCAACAATGGCAATGAAGCCAAATCCGCAATGTTCAAACGCTGCCTGTCTGGAGCGGCAGGTAAGAGAGTGATTTCTGTCTTTTTGGTCAATTGGTTTTGCTTCTTCTGATGGAGTGGACTATTGCTTTGCAGAAAGAATACATTCTTGCAAAACCAGCCAGAGATGCAGCTGCTAAAGCCAAGATGGAGGCTGAAGCCTCAGCCGCTGCCTCGGCAGGAGATGTGCCGCTTCATGTTGATAATGAATGGGACATAAGGTTCTGAAAACTAACACTTTTTTTTTGTTTTCGTAGTTATATAATTCCGACATTTGACTGGATTTACAAATTTAAATAGTGATTGAATGATGTGCTTCCTATGATGTTATGGACTGTTTTGCATTTATTATATTCATGGATCATATCGTTGTATGGTTTTACTTGGGGAGATTAACCGGCTTATACTATTCTTTTTGCAGTGTTATCGATGATAACGAGCCAGAGAAGAGTACTTGTGGCACAAGTTCAGGTGTTTTTCTTCTCTATGCTCTCTGTTTTGAACTTTCTTCCAGTTTTCATTTGCTGATTTTCTTTTATATATGATTGCGTTATCTTCTTGTAAAGTTCTGAATACACAAATGTAGGTCCTCTATACAAAAGTTTGAGAAGAGTTATAATGTAATTCCGGTCACTTTTAATCTGCTGATCGGTTAAACATAGGGAGTTCAGATGGGAATTTTGTATGTTCAAAGGGCACAGTTTCCATAACAAATAATAAATTTTGCTTTCTTAGTTGCTCTTCAACACATGCTAATTGTTTGTAGCTTGCAGTTCTGACCCTATTTAGAAGGATTAAGTCTCCGCCGAAACTTGTTGCGGGAACAGTTTTCTTCTACATTCAGCATGTCTGTCATTTGATACACATTTACAGTTTTCCTTAATTTGATTGTTGACGTGGAGTTACCTTGAAACTTTAAACTCTCCCAATTACTACCCTTCATTTGCTTTTTATCTTCTGTACCACTCTTGTTTGATCTCAATATTTCATTTCCCTAAGCTGCTTTCCTCTGGTCATACAGATGCGCTTCCCGAAGGCCTCACTCGTGAGCTCCCGAGTGCCGATGAATATCAAAAGCCCCAGCCATCTGGAGCCACAGATACTACTATCGATGACCTTGAAGATCTCCGGAGGCAGCTTGATGCTCTGAATGCTGATTAATACCCCGGCATAACATCTAGTTGAAAGATAGGAACACTCCTAGATTTAATTGTTTGTCTACCATTGAGGGCGAAATAAAAGAAAGTTCTGGGGGTTCAACATTCAAGCAAATGATTCCCCCATTCCCAAAAACTTGTACCCTTTAGGGTTTAACAAATTTACATTCAGTTAACAAATCCATACGATGCCCATAGTTTTGAACATGCAGTCTGCTCAAACAAGTATTATTATCAGAGACATATATCCATTCGAAAATCATCCCAAATCAGAATAACATTAATAGTTTCTGTTTTACAGTTATATATAAGATACAAAGGAAGTAACAATCGTGTTTGTCGGGATAGAAACGGGTACATGAACATAAAACTACAGATCTTTGAACTGCAATAAAATTTGGTTCATCTGTGGCTGATGTTTTCTGAACTGCAAAAGAAAATTCAGATTCATTTGAAAAGAACCCAGGTCATTGATGGAGATATAAATTAACACAGAAATGTCGATGAAGAATTTACCTCAACACCAGCCACTGATAACAGCTTGCGCGAACATATGCAGTGTCTGTATTCAGTCTTTTCTCTATCAAATATGACTTCTGAGACACCTGACTGCAACATAGCCAAATCCATAAATGGTAAACATCAATGTTGATGAAAGGAGAAACAAAATCTATACGAACTCGTTATTTACTAAACATAAAGTTGACGGTTCGGTTCGAAGCATTAAGGGGAACATCGGTATCAAACCTGAATGATTATCTTTGCATAATCATTGCAGGGGAACATGGTCACATAAAGCTTCTGCAAAATTTCACAAGAAGATGAAAGATCCTCTCAGTGCCATTACTGGTAAACCTTTAAAGGGAAAAAAACAATACACATATTAGAATGGTTTATAGTGTAATTTGTCCAAAAATATTTTGATAATATATTTTTACAAAATCTAAATCTAATCTTAATTTATCTAGAGGAGAGGGATAGGAGGTCTCTAGGAAAAGGAAGGGAAGTACTTCTAGTGGATCAATAGCCCATGACCTAGAGACACGATGAAACACATTACATTCTTCGGTTCAGACTTAAGTTTGAATTTTAACAATATTATTGAAAAACAATCAATAACTCTTAATACGTTATTATTTATGTATTTTCAATTATTGATCTTTCTACCAATTACGATTTAAAATGACAAACCAGTAGCAGCTTATGTCCTTTACAGCATACAAAAAAAAAGTGGGCAAAACAGGTTATGGAGTTTCCAATTGAAAGCTCATTTCAAGTAATAGCAAAGCACTGAGGTTGTGGAAAAATGGCAAGCCACATAGCCTTGGTAAAAGGCCTGTAAGCACTCAGTCAATTACTTAGGCAATAGTAGGAGCATTCTGATTCTAGTGGTAAACCCTGGTCCTCTCAGCTAAAATAAAATCATTCAACTGTCGGGCACTATCTTGGTTTTTCTGTTACCATAATTAAGGGCAAATAAAACTCGACTTGAAAAAATGTTGAGATATTAGTTATGCTCTAAGGCATTGTCTCTGAATGGATTAGTGAGACAAGATATACTTGTGGAGTTTTTGAGCATGGATGTAAAGGAGTGGAAACCATATTTCTTATTTTTTGCTCCTAGAAATGTAGATATGAACTAGTCTATTTGGGGTATTTTGCTGGAATTTAAGGAAACGCAATAACAATTCAAGCTGATTTTGTGCAAACGAAGAGTGTACCAGCAAGAGAATGTTGCAGGAGGTTGTCATGCTAAACAAGCGGAAAATGTGCAGGTACGAGCTGCGCAGACAAGAGCCTACAAAAGCAGGTGTATTGGGAACGTCCGCTAACTCAGATGGGGTTCGACAACCTGATTTCGGGATCTAAAGGGATCATGCAGGTCTTTGGCAGCTTGGTTATGCCAGGAAGGTTGGTTTGTGTTCAGTACTCGAAGCTGAGCTATGATGGGGGTACGTTGGCCTTCTGCAAGTTTGGAAGATTGGGCAAAGGAAGGTAATCTTGGAAATGGACAGTTTAGATTCAGTGAACCTACTAAGAAGCTCGGGAAACTTGATGCATCAGTCTGGTGTCTACCGCTCGGTTATCTTAGTGTTATAATGGCCATGGAAGTTAGGATACACGTGTATCGAGTTGAATTTAACCATAATCTATTACAAATAAAAAGGAAACACAAAAGTCGATGCAAAATTAACCATAATCTATTACAAATTGCTCAAACTTGGATTCAAGACTATTGGTCCAACTAATAAAATGTAAAGTGACAAGGGAATAGCTGCACTGTAACATTTTTCTTTGATCAGAATTTGCAACTTATCCAACTGCCCATATCCCCCTGCAATTCATATAACAAAAACCAAATCATAAAGATTTAAACTTTGATATCCATGAATTTCTAAGAACTAAAAATACCAAGCATCAAAGACTATAATTTCATAGCATCAGCAATGCTACATATAACACACCCAAAAATAAATAAAAGATGTAATGAAGTCTTAATCCTCAAATCCAATCAAGACTGAGGTGAACTGCTAGTTTATCAAAGACTATAATTTCATAGCATCAGCAATGCTACATATAACACACCCAAATCAACAAAATAAATAAAAGATGTAATGAAGTCTTAATCCTCAAATCCAATCAAGACTGAGGTGAACTGCTAGTTTATCAAAGAAGGAATGAACATGCAACTTTTGCGAGCACTTGGAACAAAAGACATGACATTTGAGAAAATCCATCAAAGAGTCTACCGGAGAATCAAAAAGCCTACTGGATCTTCTAAAATAGCATAGCTTTTGACAAGGCATCAATTGTATACAATGGGTTTGGCTAAATATTCCTTTAAGCTTTGCTTGCAAGCAAAAGAACACTCACTCAGTAATATGGAAATAGCTATTGATTCAAAATTTGATCATTTATGGCAGATTGACGATAAATCTTTTGCAATAAAACAAGGTAAAAATTCCTCGAATTTAGATTCATCCAAATGAAAATATCCCATTTTTTTTAACATGTAAAACTTGCATGCAAAATCAAATTAGGCAAATCACCTAAGCGGAGCCGACGATGATGTTGTTGATAGGAATAAAGATGAGCTTAACGAAGAATCCGACGAATCCCATCACTACAAAACCAATCGCTGTACGGAACGCCACCTTCGTGAACTCTGCAAACGAAACAACAAACATTCCCACGAAAATAAAACAAGATCCTTAAAGAAGAAGGAATTAAAAACCCAAAAATTCGAACAGATCCAAAATTTGAAAAATAAATGGGAGGGAAGAAGAAAGGGGGGAGATACCTTTACGATCGGGTTTGTGGCAACGCTTGACGAGGCGGACGCTGTCCTTGGCGAAGTCTCTCAAAGGATCTACGACGTTGTCAAGGGCGTCCATTTCTCTTCTCTCTCAACCAAAATTGAGTGTTAATTACCTAATACACAAGATTTCCGAGAGATTTTCTTTTATAAGAGACAAAGACGATTTCAGAGGTGGCCGTACACAAAATTTTGACATTGACCGCTTGCCACCTTCGCTTACAGACCCTTTCATAAAAGAAAGAGTAAACTATGCTAATAGTCCCTTTTGGTTTTGATCTGCTCGACTTTGATCATTATTTTTTTAATTAAGTGCGTTTGGTCCTTTATATTATCGATTTATTCGATTTAAGTCACTTGACCGTTACCTCTATTTTATTTTCTGTCTGACCGACTTTGGTCACCGTTTTTATAATTAAGTGCGTTTGGTCCCTTACGTAGTTACTAAATGCATTTGAACTGCTTTCACTTCTTCCTCATATAATAAGTTGGATAGAAAGTGGCTAAGTAAATGCATATAATTTATGCATCAAAATTTTAAAAGGATAACAAAATATACCAACAGCAGCTTCCATTGTCATCTTTTTATGTTTCTTCACAATTTCATCTTTGGAATTATTTTCACGTAAAGTTCAGTTATATATAGTTTTGCTTTGATCCAACTCAAGGGGAACTCTTAAAACCCCAAGTCATGGCTTGGAAGATTACAGCCATGGTTTTCATATTCTTTATTTTTAAGTTTGTATCCACCCATTTACGCCTTGCACGCATTCCACAGTACCCCCCATACCACTGGTCAAACTGGTAACCCTAAAATAAAGCATCCACCAAAACATGGAGGAGGCCCCACGGTAGAGCCACCACCTCTAAAAATTAAAAAGTGCGATCCAAAATTATAATATTCTATTTAAAAAAATTATTGGGTTTACAAATTTCTTATTTTTTATTAACAAATTAAACTAAATTTAAATTTTTTTCTTAGAATAATGGGGTGGTGCTCCCTTAGGAACCACATGGATCCACCAATAACGAACCCTCATGTTACACCCCACCACCTTTTTCTCCTTGTCCACCTTCTAGGGGAGGGGGCGGTGGAGGTGTTAGTGAAGGAGGAGAAGGTTGAGGTCGTGGTGGTGGCGGCGGCGACAGAGGAGGTGGGGGTGGGTAGTAATAGTCTTGCACCACCAACTACACAACCAACATGCCCAGTTAATACACTTAAGCTAGGACTGTGTGCAGATGTGCAAAGAGGATTGGTGTATATCGGATTAGGAAACCCAGTCGAGAATGTTTGCTGTCCAGTGCTGGGAGGTCTACTGCAGCTTGAAGCAGTTGTTTCGTCTTTGCAGTGCTATAAAACCCTATACATCTTCACCCCCCCCCTCAAGCTTTAATAACCAGGGTTATGAGTTGAATCGGGAAGCAATGGGATGAAATCAGGGTTCGTGAAATGGAAAGTGTTGATGAAGATGGTGAAAAAGTTAATAGGAGAGATGGGGAAATAAGTGAGCAAAAGAGTGGGAAGTTTCTTTAATGGAAGAACAAGAAGAAACACGTGGGGTTTTTTTTTTAATTACCAGCTCGGATTTTAGTTAATGGATTAAAGGAAAATAATAGTTGAGGGACTTAAACCAAATAAATCGATAACAAAATGAATATGAGCGTTCAATGTCAAAATATTGAGAGTTATATTTAAACAGATACTACCATGTACTTATCGTATTAATAAAAAAAAAATTGGATTGAGAAAAGTCAAAAATTAGAGAAAAAAATATTCTAGCTAAAAGTTCTATCAAATCTGAAGATTACTATATGAGATATATTGAGAAAAATCAAGAACAGGAAAAAAAAAATCTAGCTAAAAGTTCAATCACATCTGAAGATTACTTTACTACATGAAATATACTGAAAAAACATCTAAAATTAAATAACTCATTATACATTCAGATCAAGCATTTCCCAAATCTGGATTGCACAAACTACTACTGCTGCTGATGGGGAAGCTATGAACATAAATGATTCTCAATTCTTACAATGAAAAACATATGGACAACTAAAGAAACTCTCAATTATGTTCTTCTGACCTTCCAAAACAAAAACAATGTGCCTCTGGACTTAAATTATGCATCGGATATAGGTGTCGTACTAGACTACTTCGACAAAAACAAAACATTGGGGCAAATATAGGTTGTTACGAATAGCCGGTCTCCGAAAATAATGGACTTGAAAATTATGTTCATTCATATGAAAATATATAAGAAGCACAACAAGTGGGGGATGATTGATCCCAGAACTGCACAACATTAGAAGAGATTTTGATTAGGCAAAGTCATAGCAGCAAAAGCCTATTTGTAGTTAAGGGTCTTTTTTCTAAATAAATCACATTTAAAAGGTAGCTTTCCAGAAACAATGGCAGACAGGTTCACATTCATAAATCACAAGCAACCAAAATTCCCAATTGATTACCCAACAGCATCACGCAATTTGCCACACCATCGAGCGTCCACATCGGACCAATGAATTGCTTAGCTGCAGAAAACAACAAAATTACAAAGAGTTTAGACTATGGCCGGTATGAAACAATGGTCAGTCGTGTGATAAACTAATCCTCTTTCTTTTAATAGAAAACCCAACAATTCATGCTCGAATGGAAATATAACGGCAGGGACATGTACTTCCAAAAACCTGGATTTTCCATTTTTGGATATTCAAAATGAAAACATCCTTCCAAAGTGGATTAAACACTAGCAAATCATCACTTAACAATGTTTAGCGTTCGACAATAATTAGTAGTAGTTTGGGCCATGCAGATGCTAGCCCGAATTTTGAAAAGCCACGACCAAGGCCCGGCCCTTTGAACACGAAGATAAAGATCTAAGAAAGGAAGCACGAAGACAACGGGATTGCATCACCGATGAAAGGATATCACTTCCATATAACCAAAGGGAAATAAACAAAGCATGCATTATTACCATGCAAAACTAATAACATAGAAACAATGCTATATTTAAAAGAAATGTCAGACAGTATGATATATCATGCAAGTGCAAATAATGCAAAAATGATAAATCGCAATCATGCCAATGAGATCAAATATACTATCCTGATTGCCGCATGGTGCAGCAGTTAAGGGGAAAAATACCAATTTGTTTTGAAGGAAGCAAAACTACTACAAACACAAGCATAGTTGTTGGATTACGGATAAACAACAAAAATAAAAAAGAAACACCAAAAACCAACCAGCATTCAGAATGACTAACACTCGTTCCCCATCCCCATCTAAATTCCCACCCGATCTTCGCTTTTCTTGCCCATACCATCTTTTTGTTGACCAAAAAAGTCAAGATGGTGTATAGTACCATTTTTGCTCATTTTCATTGGAAAATATTTGGTGTTATCTATATTCTGTCAAGAAATGCCGTAGACTACTTGTTCCAAGTAAACTCTTCTTTTTCTATTGTCAAGCTTTCCAGTTTCTTAACCTCTCATTTAGGGAGGCGACTAACATAATTTCTCATTTTAAACAGGTTCTCCTTGTTCTTTCCAAGCTTTCCCAGATGGAAACTATCTCCATATTTACTGAATCAGAAACAGTAATGTTTCATCGTACAAAGCTAACTAAAGCATCTATAAAAGCGAGGCTAGCTTAAGTTACTTGTAAGAATCATGTGCTATGATGAAATATGTGTGATATCATCACTACCATCAGTGCTAGTAGCTTGGCTTACTGTATAGCTAAGTTCATGTCATTATCAATTACAAAAGCCTTGTAACCCGTAAACAACAACCAGACATCAAGACCTACAATGATCATACTACAACCATCAGGCCATAACCCACCACCAGTCTCGTTAACCAGTCCTAGACTAGGGAATCGGAAACACGACAGCAACCAAGACATTTTGGAAAACATAAACAAGCCAACAAGACCTACAGTGATTGCACTCAGCTAGACTCGTTGAAGCAGTTCCATCTCTAACCAAAGTTCAAAGCACTGGAAGCATTTAGTTATCAGAAGTTCAGACCCCTATAAAATAAGCTAGAATCTCACAAAACAAACTAAATATCGCTCTCGAAAATGTTCCCCATCCCACAAAATTATTGGAATTTAAGAATGAAATAAGAGCAAGAATTTTACAAAATAGAATAAAAAAAATTCCACATACCATTGTCCGTCAAGATTTCCCTGACCGCCGCTACCTCCGCTTGCATACGATCCATCGTCAGGCCCCGCCGTCTGCCAAACACTCTGCCAAGCCTGCGAGGGTGGCTGGGCATACATGCCACCGGTGGGGTCGACCGCAGGCCTCCCGATCATCATCCCGCCGGGGCCAGCAGGACCACCGGTAGGCTGACCCATGGGAGGATAAAAGTACGGCACTCCACTAGCGGTGGCACCCACCATCCCACCCAAACCAGCCTCATCCTTGATTTCGTCCCTGGGAACAATATCCACCAAGAAATCGAAAATGTCGGTCCTAGTAATAGCCGCTGCGATGTCGTTTTTCTGAAGCGTCCGTCTCTTGTTCTCCTCGGCGTGAAGCCAAGAACGGATGGTAAGCTCCAAAATGAAAAGCTCGCAGGCCTTGGCGAAGAGAACGGGGGCTTCAGCCGAGATCATACGTACATCTTCGTCGGCTTTCATGATCTTCTTGATGCGAGCGAGAGGCAGCTGATGGTTCTTGAAGTCGTTTACCTGCTCGATCTCTTGGCGCTGGTAAAACCAGAACATCTGGAGCTGCTGCTGCTGCTGCTGGAGGAGGTGGTGGAAGGGCGCCAGCGGAGTGGCGGCGATGGCGGGAGGCGGGGTAATAGAAGAAGTGGGAGGGTACGAGGAGGACTGGGCTTGCTTGTTGCTGTCCATTGGATGAAAAATTCAACGGCAGATTTAAGGGGGGATATCAGAACTTAATGGATGGATGAGCTTGGGTTTTTATTTATCAAAGGTACAGTATAGGGTGGGAGATTGGGGAGTCAGAGTGGTGCTATTTTTAAGGATCACCCTAGGATAAAAATATTAAATATAAATTTCTTTTACTATTTAATAAAAAAAAGTGGGTAAATTATTTAATTTTAATATTTAATTCAAAAGGCAACCCATATAGAATTTTATAATAATATAAATATTGGAACCATTAAATATTTTTTGACATGACCACATCTTCATCCAATTTTTTAATAAAGGAATATGGTTCCAATGGCCCTTCGGAAAAGCAAAATGTGTTGTGTTGTAGGCATTATTTATTTATTTATTTCTATATTTTGAATTAGGATTTTATAACAATATTTTTCAAAATAATAAAAACTCGATTCCGTTCATGAATACTCATATTCAGCACACTTTGATCACTCGTATTGTCTTGTTCAAGCTGCATAATAATCAAACCTACTCTAATATTATTAAATTAGACTTGAATAACTTATAAACACATGGTTTATTCCAACTTATACATGCATCTATTCCTTTGTATCTTATTAAAATATATATATATAAGGATAACCTATACCGCAAGTCATCAATTTATTACCGATTTTTCATTTTAATCACCGAACTATTTTTTTGGCAACCAACATCAGTAACATTATGCTTTTTTCTTATTTTAATCACCAATGGTTAAAAAGAAATAAACGACAATGGTAAAGTTGATTTTTTTTTCATCAGTTTTCTCTCCTCATAATTTTATTTGGACGAATAATATAATGACATCTAACAATCAATACATAAATAAAAAATTAGAAGAATTGTAGTTTATACAAGTCTTTTTGGGGTTTAGATTTAGTTTTGTAATTTAGGGTTTAGATTTTAGTTTTCAAATAAAAAATTAATAATAAATTACTGGCAAGAGAAGGGGGTTAGAAATTATTAAGTATATGTCCTTTTGGGTCCCTTTATTACCAAATATTAAAATTGTTTAAATCCAAAATTCCAAATTAAGGAAAACCTATACTTCTATATATGAAAATGAACACATACATTGCATGTGAAATCTAAAAACCCCACACACAAAGCAAAAAAAAAAAAATCATTAATATATTAGGAAATACATCTAAAGCATTTGACAGCTATGTTAAGGGTGTATATACATGCATTTGATGTATATGGCAATGACAGGCAGGCTGAGTAACAGAAACAGCAAGCCATTCATGGAGGAAATGAAAACAATGTGAAACTGTAAAATCTGAATCATACTATAAAAGTAGCTGTAACAAGGAGAACTGTGACTTCAAAAAACAAGAAAACCAGTTCATGTAGGTGTTTCTGTCTCTTTTGCAAACAAAATAGTCCCTTTTTTCTTTTCCTGAGGGTGTTTTGACCTACAAAGAACAAAGAAAACAACCTGTGCTGACCTTCAAGACATTCTTCAGGTTCACAGAATGAAATGTGAACTCAGTTTTGAAGAACCTAATGCTGTGATGTGAGTTTTTCCGATCCCGTCGGTTTGCGGCTTTTGCTGACTTCTACAGGCCACATTGACCGCCGAGGAGGAGAGAAAAACAAACTATGATTATTCTATATTCTTGGACTTTTACTGTTTTTGCTTCATATTGTTTCCTACCACTGTGAAAAATAAAACCTGTAAAACCCTATGCATCAAAACTGTTTCCCTAGCTATCTGATTTTTTCGGGTGCCGTCTAACATAAACAAGCAGCCCGGCTTTCTTGTTTTCCGTTTCTTTCGCTTGTCCAACACCTTCATCTGTAATCTTTGGTTTCGTTTCTTGGTCATCCTCCACAAGCTCTTTTCCTTTGGATCTTTTCGAATCCACATTTAGTGCGTCTTCCCGAGCTCTTTCAATCATCGTCTCCATTTCTTTCACCTGATCTTCAGTGAATACCTGGAGAAGTTCTAAAGGAGTAGCAGCAGGATCAAGCTCGAGACGGCCCTCACAAGACTTTTGACCTTCTTGACCTGTGAGCAAATAAGAAGGGACCTGGTGAGAGAAACGAAACAGCTCTTCTCTTGGGATCACCCAGGGTTTACTTGGTTTCGAATGCTTGCGAAACACTGTCTTGAAACCCGGCACCTTAACAAGCGGAGAAATAGCTACACCATTTTGCTCATTGTAATCTTCGAGCACCTCAACCATGTCATAGTTGTGTATCACTTCGCTCGGTGTAAGTGAATTCCAATCGGAGGACCAGTTCCTGTAGAGAGCCCAAACATCACCCTTCCGGGGATATATTTGAATCACTCCTTTTCGGCCTTTCGACCACTTCACCTTGTGTGAGAAAGAATTCAGAGACCTGTTAACTCCGTACTTGCCTATCCAGAACTCCCCACTAGTTTTGAAGAAGCCGGAACCGATCCAGTTTAGTGGACCCAATTCTGCATTGCTTTTAGAATTGAGCCAACTCATTCGCATCTTGAATGGCTTTAATGATATCACACTATGAATCATAGCATAATAACGAGGCATCCCATCATCATCATCATAAGCAGCCCAAACCTGGTTCTCACCAAACGACTTTTCCATGCGATCCTGGTCGAAATCATGAAAATCTGGATCAGGAACACTCATTGACACGGGTTCAGGTCCCCTTGTAGCAGGATCAACATCGGAATCAGCAACGGAAGACATTTTGGTCTGCATGCTAGACTTGATATCAACAAACTCCGTGGATTTTTTAGCACCGGGTTTCTTACTTGGAGCATCTTTTCTGTTTCCTTCATTCTGCTCCTCCAACTCTTCATCTGAAACCTTAGGTTTATTGGAAGCATTTGGTAAAGCCGGGGTCCATGAATTTGTGTTCTTGCAGATTTCTCTCCTAGCCATCTCCATCAGCATATTCCGAATTCCCAGACGTGGAGGCTCCTTTATGCTATTACTAGAGATTCCAGAAGCATCCGTCCTTCGTATATTGGAACCATTCTTTTGAATAGAAGAAAGACTAGCCCCTTCATTTCCCATTGCTATTGGATTTTCTATCTCTGTTGTGCCAGTGTGCCTCTTCTTAGACCTGGGTTTTTTTGCTGCAGTACGGGAAACAGAACCCGAAGACCTGGTACCTAAACCAGCATGTGTTTTATGAGAAGGAACTCTAATCTGCAGGCTTTCCCCCGTCCTGGTACCTGCCTTTGATTCCTTGTGCCTTCTCTTTAATGTTTTACTGGCTGAATGAGTAGCACCAGCAGCTCGAGTGGCAAAAGAAGATGGTGGTGCCACATTTATGTTACTTGCTGATCCAGCAAATGCACCTGCCTGAGAAAATTTTTTGGATGCGCCCAAGCCAGAAAATCTGCCCCGTCCTGAATTTTGAACCTGGTGGAACTTTTGTTGCTGCATGAAGTTCGACAAGGGAGTGTACTTACTATTGCCATTTATAGATGGGGTCGATGTCTCAGCAGCAAAAAAGGGTGTCCGGCACTTCCAACAAGTAAGATTCATGTTGACATAGACTCTCGAGTACTCGAAATTCATCTTACAGGCATAGCAAGTTGTCCAAAACGTATCGCTTCTTGCTGAGTGAGGAGGAGCAGGATTGGAATAAGTAGCACCGTTTTGATCAACAGTTTTGAATTATTAACATTGAAGAAGTCATGGAAACCATTAGAGCTGGTCGCTTCTGTTGATGGTTTCCCATGAAAAACATCTGAATAACTGCCCCTTAAGTTCCGTTTCTCGTCATATGCAGTTCTCCTTTCTTTATCAGATAACACAGTCCAAGCTTGAGATAGAATTTTGAAAGCCCCGTCTGCACCTACAGATTTGTTTTTGTCCGGATGAAGAATAAGAGCCAGCTTCCTATAATGTTTTCGAATTGTTTCCTCATCGGCATCCGGTTGAACACCAAGCACCCTGTACCAGTCAACTTCTCCATTGATCTTTTCATCGGTGGATATGTACACGTCAAGAGCTGCAAGCAACTGGGGAAGACCATCGAGCTCAGGGAACAAATTTTTAGCCATCAGAGCAAATCTTCTTGCCTCCACAGCATCCATCTCAGCAAGTTTTTTCTCAGCAAGCTCTTTAGCTCTAATGGCACCATCTTTGTTACAGTCCATATCACTTTATGCAAGTAACTCTCGGATTGGCTCCAACTGCTTGTTATTTCCCTCTTCAGTTAATTATCTGAATTTTTCCACCAATACAACATCAGTAAAGATTTGAACATTTAAAAATAATTGAAATGTTTAATAAGAAATTCAAAATTTCCCCATGTATTATTAAACAGAAATTAATCGTGAAAGACAGCTAGTGGTCATTGAATCCAATATGAGGAACCTCAGTCAGCTAAAAAGAAAAATAATGACATGAAGTTTTTCGGTTTTCAATCAAGTAATAAGTACAAACAAAGGAACAATAACGAATGCAGAAGGTCATTCCTATCAAACTACAAAAGCTTGAGCATTACTGACTCAAAAGCGATGCATAGAATGAGATCAAAATTTTGTTCCGACACGAGTAATGAATAAATAAATAAAAGAAGCAATATTGAGATTAATCGATTACCAAATATTCCAAAAACTCTTTATTTGGGAACCAATTAACTAATTAAAGAAATATGTGCAGGACAGCCATTCATTTACCATGCAATGAAATTGATTGTGAAACTTCCAACAGAAGCATACAAAATATTTTGATACAAACAAGGGGCAAAAAAATGTCTTTACCGATAATTTATTACCTGAAAAAGAAAACAGCACGGGAGGTCATTTATTTCAAAACTCGATGAACTAGTGTACCGATCTTTCAGAAATTATCAAAATAGATTTGGAAACAGCAAGCTATGCAGCTGAAATAACAAACAATGTGCGGCAAGGTCATGCATTAAAAAGTAAAGGAAGGATCTATAGTACCGAACATTCAAAATAACCAAAACAAGTATGGAGTCAACAAACTGCATAATGGAAATATCGAATAAAGCACCGGGAAGGTCACACATTAATCTTGAAAACGAATAAAGCAAGGGAAGGTCATGCATCAAAATCTAAAGGAACTAGAGTACCGAACTTTTAAGATAACAACCGAACTATACTGAACATTCAAAATAACCTAAACAGGATGGAGCCCACAAACTACATAACAGAGATGATGAATAAAGCACCGGGAAGGTCACACATTAATCTTGAAAATGAATAAAGCGCGGGAAGTTCATGCATCAAAAGCTAAAGGAACTAGAGTACTGAACTATAGTACCGAACATTCAAAATAACCAAAACAGGTATGGAGCCAACAAACTGCATAAAACAAATAACGAATAAAGCACAGGGAAGGTCACGCATTAATCTTGAAAACGAATAAAGTGCGGGAAAGTCATGCATTAAAACGAACAGGGGGGAAATGCGAGGGATGTCAATCATTTTAAATCATAACGAACTTGAGTACCGAACTTTCAAAATTATCGATGCCAAAATAAAACATTGGAGAGAATGTGATCAAAAATGCCATATGGTTAACAAGAACATTGAACCTGTCAATTTGTAAACTCAAATGGCTATTGCAAATTCCTTATTTTCATTTGCCTCCAAAGTTTTCTTCAGGAAACAACAAGTATCATAGTTCAGTAAAACAAAAACTGAATTCTCAGTTTTTACTTTTCAAGCTTCAAACACCAAATCAGAACTCCCTTAAACCAAAAATCCACATTGAAAGAGTAAACACAATTCATAGCAAACAAACAAAAAATCAAAAAACAAAGAATCCAGTTCAATATTAACTTGAATTCTGTCAAAAATAAAGAAACCGACAATTCAACAGAGTATTCGAGATTGCAGTAAAATCCATTCATTAGTTACACATTTTACATTCAAAATGTACCTTTCTTTCAGTAGCTGTTTTTCAGATTAAAACCCTAAAGCTCTTTCTCACAGGTTTTGCATCAATGCCTGGAAAAAAAATCCAAAAGAATTACATGCAAAGTAAAACAATCAGAGTATACTAAAAATGCAAGGAAAATTAAAAGAAAGGGAAGGGAAATACCCGCTTACACATTTCAATCTCAGACAAGGCAATGAAGAATTCCCAGTTCAATTTTCATTTTTACGGATTTTTCAAACTGAAAGGTTAAATAAATACAATCCCCAAAACCTGAACTTTGAGAATTCTGACTATAATAATATAATACTACTGTTTATTATTTAATGGTTATATGAAAAAAAGTTGAATTTTCTATTTATTTATATAATGCCTAAATCCAACCTATGCTTACTCATTATACCCTAATCATGGTTAAGTTTTAACTCAAAGATTGATTTTCATATAACTAATGCGTTTGAACATCGCAAAATAATTGTAGGAAAAGCGAACGAGTGTTAGTAAAAGTGGTTGAGATTCAAGAATTTAAGTTTGTAAGGTCAAATTCAAATCTTACTACGTCACTCTTAGCGGATAATCTGTAAATTCTTATGTAAATTCTAATTGAGTCTTAGGTATGCCGTGACTCTAGATTGAAATAGTCACCCTTGATCTAAAATTTTATGTACCAAAAAGAAAAAAGAAAATAATTGTAGGAAAATTAATTACTAGATAATAATTATATTACTTTATAATCGTAATAAACTATATACGAGTATTAGATTTGGTTCTTATTTGTTCCCTAATAATTTTAGAGTATAATTGGATGCATCAACTACACTTGATTTAGTCATCGATTATAACGATAAATCGAATAAATTATAACGAATATTCGAATGTATTAAAATTAGATAATTATAATCAATTACATCCAAGTCTAATTACTTGGTAACTTTTCAAATGCAGGTATTAATGAAACTAAAAAAATTAGATTTGAATTTGTTGCCAGAAATGGCTTAAATTTTCCTAATATGTACCATAATTGCCGAGAATGGAAGGTCCAGATGAGAATGAGAAATTGTTATACAGATTCATCCCCTTGTATAATTGGACAACTTAACTTTGGTAATGGAAAGGTTTATATGGCAATTAATCACGTCCTCTTCAAAAGGTTTTACTAGATATCCTAATATAGAAGGTCGTGTGGCACACGCTCCCCTTGCTGGTTACATAAAAATGTATGTTGTCCGAATTTTTATTTAGATATGTAATGAAATCACAAGTGAAGAGCTCCCCCGGTTCTGTTGAAATGAAGTCGTGGCATTTTTACACGGTCGGCGGTTACGAGTCGACCTGCGTTTCTTTGTCTCGGTGAAAGACTTTCCGGTCGTTTATGTGGCACAGTGAATCACTTTTTTCCCTTTATTATGGTGGTGGTTTGCCTTTTGGCATGTGCTTCTTCCCGTGCTCGGTTTCAAATCACACTTGGTGCTTTATCACAGACTAGAGTAAAAAACCACTTCCGTAAGCCATTCGGCCGAAAATGTCATAAAAAGTATAACATTTTAAGTTTCAATAGAAAAAATTATAATATTTTTTGTCACATAAATTATAATATTTTTGTCATGTGATTATAAGGTAGTATGCGTTTAGAATTTTTGATCATTGACAAGGTTTACACGCCCATGAACCAGTGACAAATCTAGAAATAAAAAAATGGGGTCCAAAATTATAATATTCTATTTTAAAAAAATAGGTATGCAAAATTCCTTATTTTTTTTATATTTCCATTAACAAATTAAACTAAATATATTTTAAATTTTCCCCAAAATAATGGGTGTGTAAGTGCTCCTTTAGGGAGCCACATGGATCCACCACTACCATGGACACAACTACTTAAACCCAAAACTTCTAAGAATAACAACAATTTGTTTAACTACCAAAACCACTTAATGATTCATGTATATATGGACATATTTTCAAATATACGTAGGTAAGAGATATAATCTTTCGTTAGTATGCTCTCGCTACTCGTCAAGCGTAGAAGAATTATTCATTTATTTAACATACAATATGAATATTTTTTTAGTAAGAAAAATTCTACAAAGCTCGGTGAGTATTGATGAGAATTACTAACGACGAGCACCATTAATTTAATTTATAAAAGATTAAAATTTTAAAGGGCTTAACGTATAATTATAAATTAGTTGAAAATTTAAAGATAAATTATTTAAAATAAAAGGTAAAATATATCAATGACCACCTAACTATTGTCCCTTTTTATTTTGACCATCATTTTTGAAATTTTATCAGTCAGGTCACTCAACTATTTAAATGCATTTAATTAAACAACTTGTCGTTAATATTTAACGGAAAAACTAATGTGGCAGTTAAAATATTTGATATTATTACACATTTGGTCAATGTTACTTATATATTCTATTAATTTGGTCCTAATTTTAATAAATTAAAATAAACTTAGCCCTCAAATTAATTGGTGTCAAAGTAGTCTTTATTCATCTTATTCTTTCAATTTGTAATAAACTTAGCCCTCAAATTAATTTTGTCCATGTTATTTATTTGACGAATCGTACAAATCATGTGTATTTATATGTTATAGTCCTAGAAAATTATAGCGTAAACTATGTATCTAGTTATTTAATTATTTTTATAGTTCCATTTTGATCACTCAATTATTTTTTTTTTCAAAATCATCATTAAATTATATATTTGTTTTGTTTTGTTCACACACCATTAAAAAATTATCGATGATACCGACATATCACCATAAGTTAATGTCATGTCATCAGTAACAAAACACTTATATTATAAATAAGTACCTAAAGTATACTATTTTTTCATCCAAGTACCTAAAGTATTTTTTATCTAAATAAATACCTAAACTTATTATTTTGGTCAAAATAGGTACCTAAAGCATTCATCTATGTTCTAAAAAAGTTGACATGTGATATTAATTAATAATAATTTATGTACTTAGATGAATTTTTTGAATACTTTAGGTACATATTTTGACCGAAAAATACTTTAGGTAACTATTTTGACCAAAAATATAAATTTAGATACTTATTTTGACAAAAAATACTTTAGGTACTTAATTGAAAAATGTGATATACTTGTATAAAAAAAATGCGGTATACTTTAAATACTTATTTGTGATATAAACCTTAACAAAAAAATTGTCAGGTTAGCATTTATGTTTATTTTTAACAATAGGTGATCAAAACGGAATGAAAACACAAGTTTAATGATTATTTTGAAAATAAAATAGTTAAGTGACTAAAAAATAATATAAATAAGAGTAAA